TGTGTGAGAGAGAGAGAGAGAGAGAGAGAGAGAGAGAGAGAGTGTGTGTGTGTGTGTGTAAAAAAGTTTGGGATCAGTAAGACATTTCATGTTTTTTTAAAGATGTTTCTTATGCTCAACAGGTCTGCTTTTGTTTGATTAAAAAAAAAATACAGAAAAAACAGTAATATTGTGAAATATTATTGCAATTTAAAATAATGGTTTTCTATTTTAACATACTTTAAAATTTAATTCATTCCTGTGATGGCAAAACTGAATTTTCAGCAGTCTTCAGTGTCTCATGATCCTTCAGAAATCATTCTAATATGCCGATTTATTATCAGTGTTGGAAACAGTCGTGTTGCTTAATATTTTTTGGAACCTGTGATACTTTTTCCAGCATTCTTTTATGAATAAAATTAATGTTAAAAAAGAACAGCATTTATTTAAAATAGAAATCTAACAATATACACTACCATTCAGAAGTTTGGGGTCAGTAAATTGTTTTCTTTCTTTTTTTTTTTTTGAAAGAAATTTATACTTTTAATAGTGTTAAAAGTGCTCATAGTAAAGACTACACTCTTAGAAATAAAAGTGCTTCACGATGCCATAGAAGAACCTTTTTGTCTAAATGGTTCCATATAGAACCTTTAACATCTGAAGAACCTTTCTGATTGACAAAAGGTTCTTTGTGGCGAAAGAAGGTTCTTCAGATTATAAAAAGGTAAGAAAGAGATGGTTCTTTAAAGAGCCTTTGACTGAATGGTTCTTTGTGGAACCAAAAAATGGTTCTTCTATGGCATCGCTGTGAAGAACCTTTTAAGCACCTTTATTTTTAAGAGTGTAAGACTGTCAGAAAAGATTTCTATTTTAAATAAATGCTGTTCTTTTGAACTTTTTATTCACGAATCTTCAAAAAAGTATCACAGGTTCCAAAAAAAATATTAAGCAGCACAACTGTTTCCAACATTGATAATATATCAGCATATTAGAAGGATTTCTGAAGGATCGTGTGACACTGAAGACCGTGTCACAGTAATGATGCTGAAAATTCAGCTTTGCTTCACAGGAATAAATTACATTTTAAAGTGTATTAATATAGAACAACTTTTTTTTTTTTAAACAGAAAGTCTCTCTCACCTCCATTGGGCTTGATGCTTTGGACGTACTTTTTAGCTTCATCCACCTGGAGGGAGGAAGCTTGGACCAGGTCTTCACTCCAGCAACGGACATTGTGATTGAAATCTATGATGCTGAAATAGTCATCCATCGACAGATCGTCCAGAATAGCCTTCATCGCCTCCACTGTCTACAAAACAAAAAAGGCTGTTAGGTAGCTCTTGTTTATTTCTCAAGGTTTAAAGTAACATTATAACTGGTCAGAGCATTCGCTGGTCAAAATATCTGCGTAGCATGTTACCATGATAACCAAATGAGCTTTTTGTATGTAACTTAGGGTGACCATATGTGCCATTTTCCCAGGACATGTCCTGGCCAGGATTTCTATATTGCCTAAAATATCTAGGTTTTGGCTTTATTTGCGTGTGCAGATCGATCGGTGTATGACATCAAAATACCATACAGACGGTTCCTTATGCTTTCAAAATGCTCTCGAGGTATTTTGATGTCATACACCGATTGGTCTGCACACGCAAACAAAGCCAAAACCTAGATATTTTAGGCAATATAGAAATCCTGGCCAGGGCGCGTCCTGGGAAAATGGCACGTATGGTCAGAATGATTTCTAAAGGATCATGTGACACTGAAGACAGGAGTAATGGCTGATGAAAATTCAGCTTTGCCAGCATGGAAATAAAGTATATTATTCAAAAGTATGTTAAAAAAGAAACCTGTTATTTTAAATTGTAATAATACTCTCAATATTACTGGTTTTATTATATTTTTAATCAAATAAATGCAGCCTTGATAAGCAGAAGACACGTCTTTAAAAAACAATATATGTGCATTTATAGACCAGAAAATAAATATTTTTATAAATAGGGAATATCCAAATAGCTATAAATAGACTATAAATAGTCTATTTATACTATTAGTCTACTTAGACTATATGGTTACCTATATATATATGGTTATACTTTGTTTGATGATCTGAATCTTTTAAATGTGACAAATATGCAAAAATTAAAACAACAGCAAGGGGGCAAAAACCTTTTCACGGCACTGTATATATATATATTGAAATAATTAATTAAATATACAAATGTACAATATAGAAATATAAAACCATATATACAATAAATACTGAATATATATTTGCACATTTTAATATATGTAGTATATAGTGTAAAAAATAAAGTATGAATTCATGGACGGATGGACGGATGGATGGATGGATGGGCTGATGGGTGGATGGATGGATGGATGGACGGATGGACAGATGGATGGATGGATGGATGGATGGATGGATGGATGGATGGATGGATGGATGGATGGATGGATGGATGGATGGATGGATGGATGGATGGATGGATGGATGGATGGATGGATGGATGGATGGATGGACGGATGGACGGGTGGACGGGTGGATGGATGGACGGATGGGTGGATGGATGGACGGATGGATGGATGGATGGGTGGATGGATGGATG